TAGTGCACATATTATTTATTAATGCACTTTGCTCTACTATCTACTCTCTTAATCGTACCTTTTACTCTTCTTTAACTTAACCCAATTTTTCTTTTCTTTTTTAAAAATCTGTTGCATACATAAGTTGTTTTTCTGACAGTATAAGACCCTCACTATGTACCTGGAGGACTTTTACTTAATGTTGTTTATTGTAGATTGTATTTTATTCTTTATCCTGCTGCTGTAACACAACAATTTCCCTTGTGGGATCAGTAAAGTAAAGATTAACCCATCTCTCTAAACAGATTAAAATCTATAGTGCAGTATTTATTAAAGTCAGTCAAGTGTATAAGAGTAAGGACCAAAATCCAGTCCATAAAGCTCAAATTAAAGCTAGGAGAAAGGCAGTCAAAGTCTCGTGATTTAAAATAGTGAGCAGGAACCAGAAGAATAACAACCAAATAAAAATCAACATGTCTGCACTTTTGAAACAATGGCTGGTTGTCACTTAGGAACCAAATTTCACCTGATTTTAGACTCTAATCAGAAGTAAATTGGTTAGTGTGATTTAGTGAATGGTTGCAAATAAGCTGTATTCAATCTGTTGTAATAGCCTGAGAAGATTAATTGCCATCGTTCAGCCAAGTGTACATGTAAAGACTGGGACTTTTTAGAGGCCACGGCTACCCGACCAGATTTAGCCCAGAAAACCAGGTCCATGGATATTGGGTGCTTCGGGGAAAGAGAGTGCAAAGGAAATGAAAAACAAATGTATCCTTCCCCTCGACTGACAGCATCTGTACAGTTAGATTTAACTCATGTTCCACTGACCAGTAACCAAGCCTCAGATGTAGCACAACAGAACACACAGCAGGACATGAAAACAGACTCATGCTTCAACCTGTCACGCTGTGCTTTTAGGGCTTACCGAAATGTTTCAGATAAAATGAGTGAAAATTTAAAACCCTCAGGAAAAATTGCAAAGTGAGCACTGGCTGTAATTATGGTGTAGTTTACAAGGCTTGTAACTTTTGGAGACACTATATCCTGAATCAAATCATTTCTTTCAAGCTTTGGTTGTAAAACAGATCTTTGCTCTGTAGAGTTCTCGCTTGTTTTGTTTCCCCATCAAAAACCCTTCAGGCAGTCCAGTTGGTATTCAGAGATTATCCATCACCCAGATTGTATTAGAGGGATTATTTGGGTGCCGTGGTATGGTGTTAGGACACAGAGAATGGTGACAAGGATTCTGGTCATAGACTGTAATACTGACCTATATTTTAAAAAGCATGTCAAGCTACCACATGTTGCACTATCTTTACAAAGTTATATCGTGGCTAATGATGTTCTTCTCACCATTTGTCTTACTGTCATACGACAAATGGTTTATAAAATGTAAATTTATATAAATTATAAATTTACATTTTATAAACAGCAGCTGTTAGAAATGTCACATTAACAGAGACTACCAAATTCAGATTACACTATATGACGATAATATGCTAATTAATAAGTTAATTAAACATTTTTGGTTTTCACTGTCGGTCCTATTAGGGAAGCAAAACCATTTTCATTCTCATGTCTTCTCCTTGTTCTCTTTCCCCACCTCAAAGCACAGTTAACCCACCTTGGTTAGTTGTGACTGTATCTGTGGTAACCACCCGTTTTACACCTTATAGACACACACACACACACACACACATACTAGAAGGAGTATCAGGTTACAATAATGGATTGCATTTATATAGCGCTTTTCAAGGCACCTAAAGCGCTTTACAATCCCACTATTCATTCACTCTCACATTCACACACTTATGCAGGCAAACCACAGTTGTAGCCACAGCTGCCCTGGGGCAGACCGACAGAAGCGAAGCTGCCATATCACGCCATCGGCCCCTCTGGCCAACACCAGTAGGCGGTAGGGTAAAGTGTCTTGCCCAAGGACACAACGACCAGGACAGAGAGAGCAGGGGGATCGAAGCAGCAACCTTCCGGTTAGAGATGAGCTTCCCAATCCCCTGAGCCACGGTCGCCCCACGGGGCCAGGTTACATATCAACAAAGTTACAATGGAAACCAACTGACAATGGAGATACCTGCATAAAGCACCAACACAAGACATTACAATAGACAGAGATAGGAATCGAAATCCATGGAAACAAATAACAAAAATGGTAGATGAAGTATAACTTACACAGCTGATCTTGACCTGCGGCGGGACAGATTCCAACTCCACCTTTGAAGTGGAATCATGTTCATGGGCTATGACACCGAGTTGACTAAGAACACAGACTATGAGTTGTAGTCCAACACAGCGGACTTTTAAACTGTTTTATTTAACAGGTTATTTGTGAGACTTGATTCATAATGTATGCAAGTTTAGATTAGACACACTGAAGAAAAAAAACATCAATTTGAAGGTTTTAAAAAGTAGACTAATTGTTTACATAAAAATGTGTTTACATTTTCTTCGTATTAATTATTGCTTCACTGAAGACTGCAAGTTGTAGTGTGTCTTACAATATGCAACGCTAAATCTGTCCAAAAGTAGATACTTCTACATATACAAGGCACAGTTTAGTGTGTTTGTGTGCACACACAACCTGATGCTGTCCTTGTATCTGGAACACAGTAAGTGAGTTTGGCATTGCTAGCCAACCAGGTCACTAATGACCACATGGCCAATTAGCAGAGCCAAACAACAACCGGATTCCCTTCACCTCTGCCTGCAAAACAACAAGCATTCATCCAAATCACTGACGGGAAACTATGAGGAAAATCTGGGCTGAGGGGCCTCAGAAGCAACAGACAAAGATATATATA